TTTTTGGGAAAGAAAAAAACATATTGTTGAATTACCTTATGAACTTGATTTCAATGAAAAATTTATTCCTACAAAATCTCGATTAATTCAAATGAATAGTAGACTCTTGGAAATTTGTAAGAAAGAAATACAAGACCTCCTTGATAAAAATTAATCAGAAACTCATATTCTCCTTGGAGTTGCCCAGCATTTTATGTGGAAAAGGCTTCAGAAAAAAAAAAGGAGTGCCCAGACTTGTCATCAATTATAAGCCTTTGAACAAAGCCTTAAGATGGACAAGATACCTAATCCCTAACAAAATGAATTTATTAATAGACTTTTTGAAGCCCAAATATTTTCCAAATTTGATATGAAATCAGGCTTCTGGCAAATACAGATCTCAGAAAATGATCGATATAGAACAGCGCTCACTGTACCATTCGGTCATTATGAATGAAATGTGATGCCATTTGGATTAAAAAATGCTCCCTCCGAATTTCAGCATATTATAATGATATTTTTATGCCTTATACTTAATTTATGATTGTCTATATTGACGATGGTTTAGTTTTCTCTAATTCTATAGATCAGCACTGGAAACATCTGACAATCTTTTTGCTGACAGTAAAAAATGCAGGGTTGGTTTTGTCCAGAGAAAAGATCCAATTATTTCAAACCAAAATTCAATTTTTAGGACATAATATCCATAACCAATTAATTATTCCCATTGACAGGGCAATAATCTTTGCTCAATATTTTCCTGATGAAATTAAAGATAAAACACAACTTCAAAGGTTCCTTGGAAGTCTTAATTATATTGTTGATTTTTATAAAAACCTAGCCGAAGACTGTGCAATTCTTTATGATCGGCTCAAACAGAATTTACCAGAATGAGGAGAAGGTCATACCCAAGCAATTCGAAAAATCAAGATAAAAGCTAAAGAATTACCATGCCTAGCAATCCCTCATCCTGAGGCTTTCAAAATAATAGAGACTGATGCTTCTGAAATAGGATTTGGAGGACTTCTAAAACAAAGAATGCCAAATTCAACAAGAGAGCAATTAGTTAGATTTATGTCTAAAAAATGGAATAATGCCAAAAAGAATTATTCCACAATAAAAAAGAAAATTATATCTATTGTTTGTTGTGTCTTAAAGTTTGAAGATGATACTTTTAATAAAAAATTTCTCATTAGAACAGACTGTAAGGCAACAAAAGATGTAATAGAAAAAGATGTTAAAATACTTGTCTCAAAGCAAATATTTGCCAGATGGCAAGCTATCCTAGCGACATTTGACTTCAACATTGAGCATATCTCAGGTAATACAAATTATTTACCAGATTTCTTAACACGAGTGTTTTTGCAGGGAGTCCAGGGGAAAAACCCAAATGAAATCCAGCGGTGAAACCTCAAGACAAGTCGCTTACAAAGAAAACAATCCAAATACAAGTGAAGACTTAATTCAATCATCTGAATACAGGGAAAAGTCTTATCTTCCCATCTCACCAATCGATAATATTCAAATACATCTTCATCCAGATGAGATTGCAAAAATCTACCTAATAAATCATATGCATCCTAGAGACGAATTTAAGTCTTAAATGTTCTATGAAACGATCCTTAAAGAAATAAGATTAATAAAAGTCTTCCAAAAATATAGAGGGCATGACACTGTTGCCTACTAAAAAATCGGAATAAAAAGAATATTGGCCTATAATAATTAGGATTCGATCCTCTTAAGCCAAGGTATTTTAGAAGTACTTGCTCTAAAATCAAGAGCTATAATTATTATGATTACATCGAAGCCTGAGAAAAGGTTTTGATAGTCCAAAACAAGCAAAATACCCACAGTTGGTTTATCTAATTCAGGCTTAATGAAGCCATAAATAAATTACCCACATGGTTTAAAAAATGGATGTTATACTGGGGACCTAACCCAGATATTTATCCCAAACAATTACGATGCTCGCTGTCAAAATTTGAAGCAGCTAAGAGAAACTGGTCTAAAGTGGAGACCCTAGTCCAATTTACCATCTTATATGAGATCCCTTAGATCCTCAGATGGTCTTATACTGTTACTGAAGATGATGAAAATTGGGATTATATCTCCTATCTTGAACGAATAATACAAATAAAATGGAGGGACAGTTTTGATATTAAAGACTTAGTTCCCGAAACCATTAAAATCATCAAAATTAAAGTCAATACACCGGAGCCTAACTAGCTAATAGGTACAGCCTCATACTTAAGGGCTTTACATACTGAAAATCCAAATTTGTCTAAAGAATAACTCAAAGAAAAACTATTATCAATGTTCGAAGAAGACTTAATATCAGTCAGTGAAGAAGAAGGAAAACTGAATGGTGATGACAGTTCAGGGATTCTACCCCCGATCCATCAAACATGAAGCAGACTATTGGGCCGGCCAGACTCCACTCTTTCAAGGACACAAGGCCCACTAATCCTACCAACACCTTTAAGACAAAACAAAAGATAGGTGTCCCTACTATACTGACAGATGTCCCTACTAAGATGTTGCCGACACCTTTTTGTCACACTAAAGGACAGATGTCCCCACTAAGATGCTGCCACCAACACCATCTGTCACTATTCCTACCTTTCCACATAGCAAGTACCATCGACATTGCCGACATCCACTACCCTCGTCTTTCCATGTGGCAGGAAATCAATGGACCGCCATCCACTACCCTCGTCTTTCCGTGTGGTAGGAAATAAATGGACCGACATCCACATTTAAGAAAATTGGGATGAATAAAATTTGAAATCCGAGATGATAAATAGAGGACTTCTCCTTTGAAGAAGGCATCTCTCAAAGTGTGTTTAAGTTTGAAGTTTGCTTAGCCTTCTTTCCTACTCTCTATTCTCTCTCTCTCTTTCTCTAAAAAGATTGTAAAAGTTTTAAAGTGTGCTGGTGTATCTTGTAAAGTTTTAGAGTGTGCTGGTGTGCTGGGGTATCTGATTTTATGTAAGTATTCCAATACTTTTTATTTATAAGTTGATGTGTTTATCTTAATCTGTTATTTTTTTTGTTATGTTTTGTTAGCACCATCCTGTTATTGTGCTTGTTATGTTTTGTTAATCCCATTCCGCTTGACGTGCTCAAAAATGGTATCAGAGTTAATCTGTTCCTATGTTAGATAAACAGCTTTTGTATCAGAACTCTGTCCAAGTCCTGATAAAATACTGTTCATCACAGTCATAATAGCAATAAGCCACCATAAGTCACCAAAGTTGTGAACAATGTTGTATACAGACTATTAATTCATTGACTCGGTTGACTCGCATGTGTAATTACATTATTGACTCAATGGCAGGACTTTTCAGACTCGTTTATCAAAGATCTGATGCTGAGGCCAGTTCATCTGGTAGGTCAGTTAGAAAAGGACTTAAACAATTAGAATATTCCTAAGGTCTCTACTTCTGAAATATATAATTTGGGAACTTTTGAGTTCAGAAGTGATTATGCAATTAAAACTGAAGAAGAAACCAAGTCTGTCTTAAATGCTGAGACTACCATAAATCTGTTAAACAAAGATCGTATTGAAGAATTTTAAAAAAGAAAATATAATTATTTACACATTGGTCTTGTTCAAGTTGGTATTAGACCCTTAACTAGGGTTGGGCTTCAAACTGATATCCTCTTATGTTTAAGAGATAGTAGACATAGACAATTTATGGACTCCTTATTAGGAGTTGTTGAATCTAGTCGCTGTGAAGGACCAGTTTTTTTTTAATTGCTTCCCAGGATTTTCTGTTTCCTTAACCAACCCCCATATTTTGAAAGTCCTTACTCTCAACCTGTTAACCAATGGTTTTGATATGGGTGCTGGATCACGAAATATAGATGTTACCTATAGGGTTATAAGGCTATGATTACTATCTGTCCAAATGTGAGGAGGATTGACTCTAAGTCAGACTATTCTTTTCCAGACTAATGTTGAAAAGGCTAATTTAATCATCCCCAGAACTATTTTGTGGGATCAGGTAATTCTACCTGAAAGATGGACCTTATCCTGTGCTGTCCCTCCTAAGCCTGTACAAAATCAAGAAATCAGCCAAATAACCCAGTACACTGTAGGAAAGGTAGAAATTCAATTCAGGCCTCTCGTTAAAACTTTCCTTTATCAAAACAGGAACCCAAGGCAGCCTTGAAGAATGTCCTTTAGTTCTAAATCATCAAGGATGCCTGAGCCCCCTAGAATCTCTTTCTCTTCTATGCCACAGACAGAAACTTAACAAAGAAAAAATAATAAAGATGTTGTCATAAAAGGGCTTGATCAGCTTAAAAACCAACAAATTGTCCAACGTACTTTTAAGGTAGAAAACCCTTCAACACAGAATGATAAAGATTTTGATGGCTCCCAAGGACCGACTTTTTTTGACATGGGATACAGTTCCCATATTCCTGAAGGGTAATGTGCTTGAAGTTGAAAATTCGAAATCAACTACAAACTCTTAAGGCAAGATTTTTACTCTGTAGAAAATAAAGAAATAAGAGAATGATTTCTTAAACATAGCAAACCCCTTAAAAAATTCCTTGATGACGAATATATTGGGACTATGATAAAAAACAAAATTAATATAAGGTTTTTTACTTGGTTGAAATATTATATAAATTCAAAAGGTAAATGATTTCCTGATAACTTGTATACTCCTAAAAGTAGGAATCCTGAAACTATTTCCATCCTTACAAAAATATATAAACTTACAGGACTCTAAATGGAGATCAAGAAAGTATCCATCCTCCTGAAGCAGCCGTTGATTTACCTAAATCTTTGGTTGTTCCTTATAAGCAAACCTATACCCCTAAAGATGAGGGGATGTTACAAAGACCCACAAATTTAGAGAGTCTTAATCATTTGATTGAACAGAATAATTACATTAATCTATTATTACAAAGTATAGGTCAACAAACTACAAGAATATAAGAAAACCTAAATAATATGCCATCTACTTCAACACAAATCCAACTTTTTTAAAAAAAAAGAGAAACTTAAACCCGTTTATTCAAACCTGCTATTTTTCTTTCTAATAAAACTTTTCAACTTGGACCAACGCTCACTAACTGGAATTAATATCTAAATATTGTCTTTTTAAATTTTGAATTCAAATTGTAAACCTTGAAAACCCCAAATCTCCTCTATTCTCAGGTTCTGCCTCTTTCCCAGTTTACTGGATATCAATCCCTCACCTTCTCTCTACAAGGACAATCCGTTGTCTCTCTACGACCACCAGAGGCGCTTTCTTTGACCATCCAAGGATCTTCTAGCTGAGATCACCTCTCTCTCTCATTTCTATTTTTTTCTCTTATTACATGTGGGGAGCAACAAGAGGAGCGATTTACAAATAGATCAATGGACCTATGAGGATTGAAGAACTTTCGGCACGTGTAAATAAAAAATGGCTCGAACCTTCCCTCCATCTTAATTTCAATTAAAACCGAAATCTTCTCTTCATTTCAATCCCCATCAAGATAGCAGGAAATGAATCCCCAATTCAAATCAGGTTTGGGATTTTTTGAAGTGTAGATTTTTTTAGGTTTTACATTTAAAAAATATGGATTTTCCAAAGGAAATAAATTTAATTATCTAAAAGTTTAAAATTAGGTCGGTCTCTTTTAGGAATTTTTTTTTTTTTTTCTTTTTGTTTGTCTTTTTAGCTTCTTGGGTTTTTAGTTTTTTTTATTAAATAATTTTTTCAATTGCTCTCTCTCTCTCCCCCTCCTCCGCCCCTCCATTTTATTCTACTTGCATAAGACCTTTCTTTTATTCCACTCGAAGCATAAAACTTTTTCTCTCTCTCTCTCTCTCCTTACTCTTCTTTTGTATCTGAGGGTTTTGTGGGAGTTATGGTGGTTTGAAGTTTTTTCTGTTTTATCGTTTCTAATCAACGAGATGTTTCTCTGAGTTAACTTATAAGAGTGATAATTGCATTATTAAGAAATGTCTGCTTCAAGTTTGTGATATGTTTTGGAAAATAATTATTTGTTATGAAATTGAGAGGTACCCATTCAAGTTCATTTGAAATACATCCAAATGAGGTTTACACAGGGAGAAGGTATGAGGTGTGAACTTGCCCCCAATAGGCAATTTGGGTTCAAATAGTGAAATTGTGTCACTGGAATCAGAGTTTGTTTCCTTTTTGGTGGGTGAATTAAACTGCAGTCCTGATCTTGATCTGCAAAATCGCAAACCTTGATTACTTGGCAAAAAATCAGCTAAGTGAACCTACGATATCACAATCTCATGTGTATCTATTTATTTTTCATTTCATTACAAGGTTGTCTTAGTTTCTGCTTACTTCTTTTTTGCTTTATGTTGAGTTTGGCTTACTTAAACTAAAACGTTTACTCGACATGGAATTTGATACTTGAATGGTTTCTTGAAACAGTAAAGGGTCCCAAGTTCTGATGAGCTATGATTTTGGGGGTATATTTTTTTCTTGATTTTGTGTCCTCAATGGTACAGTTCAGCCCCCGTATGAAATCATGTGCTTTCCAGTTATGCCAATCTCAGAGAAGCTCTTCTGTGGCCAGTTAACTTGTCTCCCCAACAAATTCATTAACTGATTTTGCGTTACTTGGGTTGTTCGGTGAAGACTCTCAAGAAATTTAGTTTTCATGAAGTCAAGGTCATTGCAACAATACCCTCAATGATACTCTTTAAATATTGGTAGAGGAAATAATTTCAGCTGCAGTGTGGCTTCAATGATTTTATGTTCTCAAATGTAAAATCCAAATGAATGTTGCACGAAGTTGAACCAATGGGAACGACTTTAGCAAGAAGTTGGTCTGCTTATTCAACTCTTTAGCAGAAGCAACTACAAAGGTTCTAGGCTTGATAAAACTGAGAAATCTCTCTTGGGAATTGGATCGTTTTGTTGCAATTTATTATTGGGTTTTTTGGTTTAGATCAAAACCAATCAAAATCTGATGTTGGAAAGAAGCTTTGTACGAATGGTAGTGGTAGTAGTGTTAGAATAGTGATATTGGGATGCGATTATGTTGCAAACACCATTTTTGGTATATTTGGCCTTTTCCAAGGGGCCTCCAACTATTGTAACTTTCTGAAATAGTAATACAATCCTTCTTAGCACCCCAACAGTTGAAAATTCAGATTCTTTTTTGGTGTATTTTGTCATTGGTTGGTTCCATTAAACGGTTTCTCTCTATGTTTCAATGGTTTCTTGACATCATTTTCAAGTGTGGCTTTGATAATGAGCACGTATGGATCTGAACAGTTGGGGTCCTGATGATTGCATGCAACATAAAGAGGGTGAGAAATGCCAATTCTGTTGTAATGAACTTTGAATTGGGTACTGAGTGGATCAATGAATTCAATAAAAAATGGAGCACTTTAAATCTCTCTCTCTTATACACATACACACACCACATGTTCTGCAAATTGTTTAAAGGCCATCCATCCAAACCATTGTTTTTTTTTTTTCTTTTTTCATCCATGGAAGAAAGCACATAAGAACAGTGCCAGCCAACACTTAGTAAGTAGAACAACACTTAGTGAGTAGCAACCGTGTATAATCAAATAAATCTACACTTGTTGAAATCACAAAGTTGTTAGAATCACAAGTTTACTAATGGAGAGTTAGTGATTCAATTGTAGCTTCCGATGTAATCAAAACTATGGGCGCTTGATCAGTTTCTCAAAGTCTAGGAAACAGAGTACAAAAATGGTATTGAAAATGTAAAGTACAGGATAATCCGATTACAATGAACTTCAACTCCAATGAACTCTCAAACCATTTACAACTGGTGTGATTATTTGCATGCTATAAATTAGATTGTCTAGAGAGTAGTTGGTGTAGCCATCAGATTTGATATGGATATCTAATTTGGGGCTCCACTCCTTTTTGTCGATTATGACTATCCCTCTGAGTTTCCATTCGTATTTGTTTATGAAATTCCATAGAGCCCCATGACGAGGAAGATGCGCAACCAAACTGCGCAGATTTGTGCCTTTGCAGGCTTGTGGATTGCTTGCTTCCCATAATATGTACTCTTGCTTAAGTACTTAAAAGTAATACTACTTCAGTCACCAATTCTTGGTAACTAATTCTCAAAATCAATTCGGCTGTTGTTAACTGCTTGAACATAGTTGACAATGTTCTACAAGCTTGCAACAATCGGCACCTGTATATTCCAGAGGAGACTAATTTAGCGTGAAATTCATCATAACATAACTTCTGACAAGGAAGAAAATAACACATAATGGTCTACTACAGATCAAGTGGAACAATAGACCATTTGTCAGCAGTTGATGAAAGACACATATGAGGATATAAACTTCATCGAAAGTGTACAAAAGAATCAAAGGCATCAACTGTAGAAGAACTAAGAGGAAAGCTATATCACAAGGACATGATTCAAAATAACTTGCCCATGTCACTGCGCCAAAATTTCTCAGACGAAAGAAATATTGAGTTATGATCTTGTACAAATAAAGATGTTAGTAGGACGCTGCCAAAACATACAGTTGATAGAAATATGCACATACTGACAAATATAATTAAAATACAGAAAGAAGATAAAAAAGGATAACCTAAAAATAACACAAAGAGTGAAACAAGAAAATAATAGTTACAGAAACACCATTATGTACAAATTATTAAAGAGAGTAATACAACATCGGGCTTAGGTGTAGTTCTTGCAAACTCATATCAAAAGCATAACCACACCAATCCTCAGTTCAATTAATCACTTACAATTTCATTGTTCGGGTAGAAGTCACTGAAATCATCAATCGATCATTTTAACAAGAATTGCAGTTCTATATATTGATAGAAAAATCATAGTTAGAAAATTAATGAAGCTCTTTAACTATAAGAAAAACATAAATTAGGAAAATTTTGCCAAATTAGACCCACATTTCCATGTGGAGAAAGATAATAGAGACATGAGCTACATTTATATGAAAAAATATCTTCAATAATAATAATTAAATACCCACAAATTATTATTCAATGATCGAACAAAAAGTCAAGTAATAATGTGCCGATTATAGACTGATTTCCAAGAGATTTTCTAAGTCGAAGAAATGCGAGAAAGTATATATCTTTGCAATTTTTATTGTCTTCTTTGCTAAGTAGCTGAGAAAAGTCTAAATCTTTGGACCTTGTTCTGAAATAAAATTGAGGTTAGGTGCGATAAACTGAAGCTTTGGTTAGAAGCATTTTATCCAAGAAATAAAAAACTTAATAAATTAAAAAACAGCAGAGAAATTGTAAGGATAACAGAGAGAGATAGCAATTGGAGAAATTATTTAATAAAAGAAACTAAATACCCAAGAAGCTATAAAAAAAAAAAAGAAAATTCCTAAAAGAGATAGACCTAATTCTAATTTTAGAGAATTAAATTGATTTCTTTTGAAAAAACCATATTTTTTAAATTTAAAAGCTAAAAAAATATACAATTCAAAAAATCCCAAACCTGATTTGAATTGGAGATTCATTTGTTGCAATCTTGATGGATTGAGATGGAGAGAAGATTTCGGCTTTAATTGGGATGGATTGAGATGAAGAGAAGATTTCGGCTTTAATTGGGATTGAGATGGAGGGAGGGTTCGAGCTTTTTTTTATTTGCAGGTGCCGAAAGTTCTTCATTCTTCATAGGTCCGTTCATCTATTGGTAGGTTATTTGCATGGTCAAATAGAAGAGTGATTTGCATGGGCTTGCATCTTGCTGCTCCCCACATGTAACAAGAGAAAAAAAAATAAAAATGAGAGAGAGAGACGCGGTCTCACTAGAAGATCCTTCAGTGGTGGTTAGAGAGAGGGCCTCTTGTGGTCTTGTGGTCGTAGAGAGAGAGCCATTTCTGATTGTAGGTATCGGTGTCTTTAGCTTTTTGGGATCAATGAGATCGAGCTCCTGATAACTTGACAATAGAAAACACTGTGCTTAGGGCTGGGATGTTTCCATCGCTTGGCTCGTGGTTGGCCAACAACAACTTGTCCGACTAGATCGTACTTGTAGAGTGAACAAGTGCTGAAATGCCAAACTCTATATAAGAATATGTAAGAGTGACAACTTAGTAAGAAAGAAAAATATTTAGCTCTTAAAAGTACATATAAAGAAAATTTGTAATGTTAAGCACAAATTCTTGTTGAAAGGTTGTCGACCCACTAAAATGTCGGTTCTTCAGGATGGCAAGCGATAGAGCGAAGGGACAAGTTTCATTAGCCACTTCCTTCTAGCTGCCAGATATTCTCATCCATGTTGTCTCAGCAGACTCCAGGATGTTTACTTAATGAACTAATGCTATGGTACCTAATGAGCACGAGGGCACTTAAGACAATAAATGAGTACGCCATTGGCTATCCAAGAGAAAGACTTAACGAGGCAATTTGCATTGTACCTGATTCAACTAAAGGGAAATTTTCATACTAGGGGCAGAGGAGACTGTTACAGAGGCATAGGCACAAAGTGGTGACACTAGATTGAGAAAACCTAATGCAAGAAGAATCCTTAGCGATTCCAAGATACTCTCTTGCACTACATTAAAGAGGAATTCTCCCCTGGAAGCTAGAGAGGTGTTGCGCCATCATTCATCTATCCAATAAGATAATAAATAAATCTGAGACAAAGAATTGAAGTGTTAAGATGATTTAACAAAGTCAGAAGTCATGCCACATGTAATAGGAGCTTTTCCCTTGATTTGCAGTAGCAAATCATTAGAGGAATCCTCTAGCTAAATTGGACCAGCAGAAGAGGATGGGATGACAACATGCTTGGGAGAGTTAGGAACACTCCTTAAGGCTTTAATGCATGTATCATCATCAACGTCGTCAACTTCTATCGATGTCTCTACATATTCTTTTTGGGACATCAACCGATATAGTTTCCTCAATTTGGCTGTTTGTCTTTGTTTCTGGGGCCACAGTTGAACGCTCTAATGAGGGTAAAAAGGGAGATCTAAAATAAAAACTTCCAACTTTCTTCTTCTTGGATATACTGTTCTTGCGAAAGAAAGGAGAAGGACGAGTCTCTAGCTCAGCCTCAGTGGTGTCAAGGTTAGGATGTTGTATTTTTCTCTTCCTTGGAACATCAACTTCTGAAATACGAGCTTTTGGAGTTGGGATGATGAACTTCTTCTTTAGTAAAAGAGGAGGAGAAAGGGAAGAAATGTTGGCTTTCTCTTGCCGTTCCGCTCAAATTGAGAAGTGGGCTCGTGAACTAATGGCTCACAGCCTTGGAAGAGCGAGATCAATCGATGGTACACTCATGATCAAATGTTAAGTTAGTATCATAGAGTGGTGAGACCGAATGTTCCTCTTGCTCTCCTAACTCATTGGTCAAGAATTCATGCAGATGATCATAAAAGGATCCCCTAAGCTAGTCATTCTAAACAACGACATGAAAGCCCATGAGCCTAGTGGTGGTGACATCTTGCTTGGAGATGCGCATATCAAGAATTGGCAGAAGGGAAGGGACTGTGGAATTATTCGTGAAGCATGACACGTGTTTCTTTTTTCCCCTCAGAGCGCGATTCTTGGAAACTTGTTAAGAGGATCCATGGAGATCTTAAAGTTGGTACCATTGTAAAAATGGTAGTACCGATAAATAAAATATTGTGCATGTCTACTGATAATTTAGGACTGAGTTTGCATGCATTATTTATGAATGTTGATGAGTCCCAGGCAGCCTTAACAATATCATTTGGCTAGTCCTTTTGCTTGGTGAACTCTACTAAGATCAGAAAGTGGTGGTCCATAACATGTTGACAAGCAAAGTAGTGGGGATTGTATATCTCCAACCATTTATCAGTACCAATTTGGAATTCAAGAACTACACCTTAGATACTCAAGAGATACATTTTATCTTTCACTGTGATTGGTCCATCATCCAACTTAGTGCAATACTCATCCTCAAATACCTGGTCTCTCTCACCACCGATTGGGAAGGGTTTAGGATTGAAGAAAAAAGATTTATTGCAAAACAAACTGTAGGGCTGCTCTTTAGTGTGAAAACAAGAACTTCAACACATGATTTTTAATATATATGGGAAGGTATTCTTAGGAAAATTGACACTTTGATCCTAGGTAGTCGGGATATATGCCACAAGCATAAAAATAATGAATCAAAAAGCCGGTCCTGGCATGCGTTAAGGTCTTAGCTTCCATATCCTTGGCAAACCCACTATAGATGCTGCAGATAATGGGTTAGAGCATATATATTGTCATTCACCATGTCACATACAACATACAAAAATTCAGGCCAATGAGGTGCTCTCAAGAATTGGGAAGATAAAATATGCATAAGAGCAATACAATTATATGTTGTCAATGTTTGGTTCGCCTCAATTTCGTCGAGTCGTGAGACCGTGGGGTGACCCGGGATTTGGGTCCTAGCTCGAGATAGCTCTATTGGGCCACGGTGTGCGAGTGCGGGCAGGCACCAACTGAGAGAGGATAAGGTGTGAGACGTACCTCATGATGGGTCCATGACACTCTCAGGCATTTCTCTTGGGTGCCCTATTAGATCACGATAGGAAGCCCCTCCAACCAAGACTGGTTCAAATCTAACCTCATTGCCCACACTCTGCGATTCTCAAACACACACACATATAAAGTTATCAGGCCAGTGGGTCAGAAGACCCATACTTGTCGTTAGAGGGATGTATATGTGTGTATGAGACTGTTTGTTAGTTTGACAACCTCTTGGCGCCATCTGGCTGAATACTCCCATGATTTAGGCGAGATGGTAGTGGGAGAAATAATGTGAGGGGGGTGAAGAAGTAGAGAGTTAGAGGGGAAAAGAAGAGTGAGAAGGAGTTTTAAGGAAAGAGAACGAAGAAGAGAGAGAGGGAACACTGAAAGGAGAAAAAAGAGAGCAGAAAGGGGAGAAGAAGGGAGAGGGAAAAAGAATAAGAGAAACCTAGGAGAGAGAAGAGAGACGAGGAGGAGAGAGAAGAAAGGATAAAGAGAGATGAGAGAGAGGAAGAGAAGGAAAAGAAAAAGAAAGAGAAGAGAGGGGAGTCGGCGGCTTAGTTGGAAGGGAAGAAGAGGAGAGAGAGAAAGAGAGGGGAGTCAGCGGCTTAGTTGGAAGGGAAGAAGAGGAGAGAGAGGGAGAGAGAGAAAAGAGATAGAAAGAAGAGAAAAAAGAGAGAAAAAAGGGGAAGAGAGGAAAAAGAGAAGAATGAGACAGAGGAAAAGAGAGAGAAAGAAAGAGGAAGAGATAGAAGAGACAAGAAAGAGAAAGAAAGAGGAAGAGAGAGGAGGAGGGAGAAGAGAGTAGGAAGAGAGGAAAAGGAGAGGGGAGGGAGAAGGAAGAGAGAGAAAGATAGAGAGAGGAGGCAGATTGACGGCTTAGCCACCGATTCAGTTGGTTGTGAGTGAGAGAGAGAGAGACAGAGAGAAAGAGAAGAAGAAGAAGAAAAGATAAAGAAGGGATATCTCAGCCCTCGGTCCAGTTGTGCGTGAGAGAAAGAAAGAGAAAGAGCAAAGAAAAAGAAGAAAATAAAAAGAGTGGGTGGGTCAGCGGCTTAGCTGACGGTCCGGTTAGAAAGAGAGAGATAAAGAGGAAAGATGAAGAAGAGAAAGAAAGGTCGGGCTGACGCCTTGCCGCCGGCCCAGTCGGACATGAGAGAAAGAGAGAGAGAAAGAGAGAAGAAGAAGAAGGAGACGAGAGAGAGAGAGAGAAGAGAGAGAGAAAGAGAAAGAGGGAGAGAAGAGAGGAAGAGAGAGAGGAGAGGAAGAAAGAAAGAGAAAATAGAGAGGAGAGAGAAGGAGAGAGGAAGGGAAGGAGAAGAGAGATAGAGAAGGGAAAAAGAGAGAAGAGAGAGAAAGGAAGAGAAAGAGGGAGAGGGGAAAAAGAAAGAGAAAGAAGGAGAAAGAGAAGGAAGAGAACCATCGGTTCGGTTGAGTAAGAAGGAGATACGAAGAGGAGAGAGAGAAAAAAGAGAGGGAGCCAACGGATTAGCCGTCGGCTCGATTGATAGGAAGCAAAGAATAGAGAAAAAGAGAGGGGCGTCGGTGGTTTAACCATCGGCTCGATCGTGAGGGTGGAGAGAAGAGAGAAGAAGAGAGGGAAGCCGACTTGGTTGAGTGAGAGAGAGAGTGAGAAAAGACAGTGGGCTAGTGGCGATTAGAGAGGAAGAGAGAGAGAGAAGGAGAGAAGAGAAGGGAGAGATGAAAGGGAGAGAGGAAGAAGAAATAAGAGGGGGGAGAGAGGGGGAAGGTAAAGCAGAGAGAAAAGAGAGAAGGAAGAGAGGTGACACTGGGCTTAATGAAAAGTTGGCAACACCACCTCTGCAAATTGGACTTTTGACCAGAAAGGTGTCTGACCTATCCAAGGCACCCTGGAGGATGCTTTGGGAACTGAACTGTGAGACGTACCCGATCCAGACCCCGGTTGAGCATCCTTCCATGCATCCTTCTCTCCCTCTCTCTCACTCAACCAGCCCAACGGCTTCCTCCCTCCTCTCTCTCCTTCTCTCTCTCTCTTTAGCCACTGGCCCTCCCTTTTTCTTCTTTCTTCTCTCCCCCTCTCTCCTCTCCCTCTCTCTAGCTCTTCCTCTCTCTTTATTCCTCACTCCCTCTCTCTCTTAGTGTCTCCCTCTCTCTTACTCTCTCATTTTCTCATTCTCTTACTCCTCACGCTCACTTTCTCTCTTCTCTCTCTCTCACTCACTATTCTCTATTTTCTCTCTCACTCCCTCTCTCTTTCCCCTTCTCTCCTCTTCTCTCTTCCCCTCTCTTCTCCTCATTGTCTCTCTCTTCTTCTCTCTTTTCCTCTTTCTCTTCCTCATTTTTCCACCTCTCTTTTTGTTCTCTCTTTCCCCCTCTCTCTTCTTCCCTCTTTCTCTCTCTTTCTTCCTGCTCTCTCCCTCTCACGCTCCTCCTTCTCTCTTCTTCTCTCTTTCTCTCTTTTCTCTCTCATTTCTTTTTCTCCAGCTCTCTCTTCCATCTCTTCTAAGCTCTTCCCTCTTCTTCCTTGACTCTCTACTTCCTCGA